AGTTCCGTCTTGAGAACGCGCTTCCGTCGATTAGCGGCTGGTGCTCGAGGAGATAGCGCCGATTTAGCGTCGATTAGCGTCGACCTAGCGTCGATTCAGGGTCGATCAGCGTCGAGCAGCGCCGATTCGCGTCGGGTCAGCGTCGATCCGCCAGAGCCGAGAAGATGTCACGGGAGGCTCCCATGAGTTGCTTCCGGAGGAGAGGAGGGCGGCGGAGCTGCGCGTGTCGAGGGACCTGGAGCCCGAGCAGGCTGGCGGCGCGCGCAAAGGGGGTGTCGCGAGGGGGGTGGCCATCACCACCCACCAAACCACCCCAACCCAACCCGAAGGCTCAGATTTACCCTCGATTTCCAGTGGGGGGGGGTCGGGAAACGTCGAAAAAACACGTGTGGAACCCTTACCCCCCCCAACCCGAAATTCGGGTCTTCGGGTTGGGTTGGGGTGGTCTGGTAGGTAGTCAGGCCATGTAACCAAGAGGGCGGAGAGCTTCTTGGAAGGCGGGGTCCCTCTGAGAAGCGCCCGGGGGCTGCTGAGAGGCGCGGAGTGCTCCCAAGAAGCCTCCCTGCTGTGTGCGCGCCGCCAAGCAGGGGCACTGGTCCGCGTACCCGGCCACCGTCATCCGGCGGCTAGCGAGGAACTTCGGCGCCGCGTGCGGCGCCGACGTGGCCCTGGAGTGCGACCTGCCCCAGGCGAGCGGCATGTCCACGTCGAGTGCGGTGATCTGCTACATGTGGATGGTGCTGGCCGACGCCAACGGCATCCGTGAGACCCCGACTTTCAGGGACAACCTCAGCACTGACGAGGAGCTTTATTGAGTGGCTTCGCCCGTTCCGCTGGTCCATCTTGCAACACCATTGGCATTTGCCTGCAAGCTCGCGGGGGCTGAAAGGCTGCTCCTGGAGCCCCCTTGGGGCCATCTTGAGGCGCTCTGAAGCTCATAGAAAGCGGAAGGGCGAGCAAGCCCAAAGCATTGACAGGCTCCACGCCGGTTCCTGCAGGGTGTGGGCCTCCTCCAGGATTCTTCTCTGGGGCTGCCTTAGACAGTCTTGGGCCGCCTCCGGACCGTCGGGGCCTCTTGGGGCTGTCTTGGGGGCATCATGAGGCAGGTTCGGGGCCATCTTGAGGCCTGCCGCCCCTTGATGCCCGCTCTTGGGCCGCCCTGATGCCCGCTCTTGGGCTGCCCTGTCGGATCTGTCTTGGGCCTCCACTGGGGCGCTCCTGGGGGTCTTCGGAGCCCTCATGGAGCCCTTCCTGGCCCCTTGGAGCCATCTTGGGCGATCCTGATGCCGTCTCGACAGTTCAGATCCCACAGGGAGCGACAAGGCGAGAAACACAGCATCATCGAGCCCATCGGTTTGCCAAGGGTTTTCGCTCCGTGGATGCCTCTATGGGGGCTGCCTTGGTGGGCCACCTCGGGACTTAGGTTACCAGCCTCGAACGTATCCCCATCCCTAAGATTTTCACGCCAAAAGGCGATGACAATCTTAGGGATGCGCCTTGAAAAACTAAGGGAATCCCTAAGATTGGCATTGTGATGAGGCGATGCCCAGCTTAGGGATAGGGATCTGTTCCAGGCTGGTAATTCGGATCTGTTTCGCGGCCATCCCGGGGCCTGCCACCCATTGATGCCCGCTCTGGGGCCGCCCCAGGTTCCTTTTCGAGCTGTCTTGGGCCTCTACTGGGACGCTCGCGGGGGCCTTCGGAGGCCCCTGAGAGCCCTTCCGGGCCCCAATTGGAGCCATCTTGGACTACCTTGGGGCCATCTTGAGGTTTTCGATCCCAATAAGTGGGAAGTGGGAAGACGAGGACGCTCAAATCACTGAAAGCCCATGTGTTTTGGAATGATGTTTGGCCTCCTGTAGGTCTCTTGGGGGCTGTCTTGGACCATCCTGGGTTCGTGGCTATCTTGAGGCCTCTTGGGGATATGGTGGGATCATGTTTGGGCTGCTTCGGGGCCACCTCAGGGCCTACCACCCCTTGTTACCCGCTCTTGGGCTGTCCTGAGGCCATCTTTAGCTGTCCTTGGCCTTTACTGAGGCGTTCTTGGGGGTCCTCCGAGGCCTCTGAAAGCTCGTCCAGACCCTACTCGGAGCAATCTTGGGCGATCTTGGAGCCATCTTGGGGCGAAAGAGTCACATGGGAAGCGACAGTGAGAGAGGGCACGCCTCATTGAAACGTTTTGGTGTTTGTGTGATTTTGGCCTCTCGGGGCTCTCGTGGGTTGCCCTGGGACTCTGCCAGGGGTTTCCGGGGACCCTGCCGGGGTAGTCTTTTTCCATGGACCTCCAGGGGCTGCCATGCGCACGCGAGCGAGTAAGTACACATACTCTGAAGCATTACCAGAGATTCTAGCTCGCCTTTGGCCCGTCGGGCTGGCGAGTTCGTACTTGGGCTTCATCGAGAATGGGCAGGACTGCGGTCCTGCGCTGCCAGGGGACAAGGGCGTGGGCACGTTCGGGGGCAGCGAGGACCACACTGCCATCTTAGGGTGCAACTCCTGGGAGGTGAATTTCAGCATCGGCGATGGTATCGGAAGTTGCGGGGTGAGATCGAAGTGGATTGGAGAGCCCCCCACCGGGAAATTGGTTTCGGTTCCTGGTGCGTGTCGTGAGTGCGGGCGAGGCGAAGCTGCGTGGGCGGGAGAAGAGGAATGACTCCGCTATGGCTAGGGCGGGTCAAGACAAAAGACCGCTCCTCCGGTGGGCCGACGTAGCCGGGGGTATTCCGCCGTGGTGTCCCGTCGGTGTGCCGTGGGTGTCCGCGAGCGGTGGCCGGGTGTCCCGCCGTGGTGTCCCGTTGATGTCCCGTCGGTAACCCGTTGGTGTCCCGTCGGTGCTCCGTCGGTGTTCCGTCGGTGTCCCGTCGGTGTCCCGCCGGTGTCCTGTCGGTGTCCTTTCGGTGTCCCGTTGTGAGATCGATAGTGCGATCGACAGTGAGTGAGAGCGATCGTGAGATCGATCGTGAGATCGATGGTGAAATCGATAGTGAGATCGATCGTGAGATCGATCGTGAGATCGATAGTGAGATCGATAGTGCGATCGAGTTTGAGTGAGAGCGATAGTGAGAGTGATCGTGAGATCGATAGTGAGATCGATGGTGAAATCGATAGTGAGATCGATCGTGAGATCGATAGTGAGATCGATAGTGCGATCGAGAGGTAATATCCATAGTGAGTTCAATATTGAAAATGATAGTGAGATCGATAGTGAGATCGATCATGAGATTGGTAGTGAGATCGATTGTGAAATCGATAGGGATATCGATCGTGAAATCGATCGTGATATCGAGTGTGAGATCGAGTGTGAGATCGATAGTGCGATCGATAGTGAGATCGATTGAGTGATATCGATAGTGCGATCGGTAGTGATATCGAGAGTATAGTGAAAACGATATTGATGTTGATAGAGATCGATAGTGAGATCTATCGTGAGATCGATCGTGAGATCGACTGATACTGCTAGTAAGATCGATAGGGACATCGATAGTGAGATCGATTGTGAGATCGATATGGCGATCGATGAGATCAGTAGTGAGCTCGATTGAGTGAGACGTTGGTCCCTCCCCCCCGAGCCTCCTTATCACCCGAAAGGTGGTCGTATAGGCATGCATGGCCGAAAACTAACCTAATCCGCTACGATTCCGTTTAATCATGCTTAATTCTTCACGCTTCGCGTATCCCCACCAGCCCATCTCAAAACAGCAACTCTTGCGAAGCATGCCGACAGTCGTGTTTTTCAGGCGTGTTTCCGCCTGCCCCCGCATATCTCCGGGCCTCTCGTCCTGGTGTGAGTCGTTCGGGCCCTTCTTCCTGGTGTGAGTCGTTCGGGCTCTTCGTCGTGGTTTGAGTCGTTCGGGCTCTTCGTCCTGGCGTGAGTCGTTCGGGCTTCTCGTGGTGTGAGTTGTTCGGGCCCTTCGTCCTGGTGTGAGTCGTTCGGGCTCCTCCTCCTGGTGTGAGTCGTTCGGGCTCCTCGTGGTGTGAGTCGTTCGGGGCCCTCGTCCTGGTGTGAGTCGTTCGGGCTCCTCGTGGTGTGAGTCGTTCGGGCGCCTCGTCCTGGTGTGAGTCGTTCGGGCCCCTCCTTGTGGTGTGAGTCGTTCGGGCTCTTCGTGGTGTGAGTCGTTCGGGCCCCTCGTCCTGGTGTGAGTCGTTCGGGCTCCTCGTGGGGCCTCTTGGGGGCCTCTTGGAGCCTCTTGGGGCCTCTTGGGGGCCTCTTGGGGGCCTCTGGGGAGCCTCTTGGGGGCCTCTTGGGGCCTCTTGAGGCCTCTTGGGGGCCTCTTGGGGGCCTCTTGGGGGCCTCTTGGGGCCGCTTGGGAGCCTCTCTGGGGAGCCTCTTGGATGCCTCTTGGGAGCCTCCTGGGGGCCTCTTGGGGCCATCTTGGGGCCTCTTGCGACCTCCTCAGAAGGGCGAAGTAGAGCTGCCCCCGAAGAAGGACAACATGAGCCCAAAACCTTTGTAGAATCAATGTTTTTGCTATGAAGGACGATGAGCGCGGCCCCTCAGAAGTCCAACATGGGGCCAAAACCCTAGTAAAATCAATGATTTATGCTTCGAAGAGGCGTAGAGGCGCCAAACTCCCCCCCCCCCTGGGGGCCAGATCCTCGTGAGGGTCGTCGTTTTTTGGCCCTCCCAGGAGTCGAAAAAGACCCCCTTGATCCCACTCGGGACGCCCTCTCCAGGTCCAGGGGAGGGGGTAGGGGGAGGGGTAAACCCCTCCCCGAAGGGGAAGACAGGGGGTTAGGGGGTTGAGAACAGAGAGAGCTCGCTAAACCACTCACGCCCAAAGGGCTGGTGGGATTATTCTTTCATTTGGCTCAATCGGGTTCAATCGCGAGCTTATTATAGTCTAATCCGACTTGGTGCCCCCTCAATCGGGTTCGTAGTCTACTTCGTTCTTGTGGGGAGACCTCTTAGAAGTTGTCTCCTAAGTCATAATGTCGGCAGAAGCAGGGAAGATAAAAATGTTCTCCTACTGCCCAACGAGCCACGAAGTGACGTTCGACTTCCCCGAAGACGTCGTGCTCGTCATCGCAGTCTCGGGTGCCCTCGCGGAGAAGACGGGCGACGCCATGGCCGACTACAACAACGCGGCCTTCCTTGCGCGCGACGCGGCCGCAGCCTGGTGCGAGGGCGCGGGGAGGATGCCATCCGGGCGACTCTTCGTGGAGGGCCGGCCGAACCTGGCGGAGGTTCTCGGGCGCCTCGAGACGGGGGGCCAGTGCAAGCCGGGGTCAGCCAGAGCGCCGGATCCTTGCAGGATCCTGCTCGAGCCAGGGTCGCACCGACCCGGGCTCGGGTGCAGGATCCTGCAGGATCCTGCAGGATCTCGCAGGGTCCTGCCACGCCAGACGGACCCCGGCTTGCACCGACCCCTGTCAGTGCGCCCCCGAGGTGGTCCGGCACGTGCGGGCAGAGCTGGGCGGCGCGGGGGCCCAGGACCCCGAGGCTCTCGGGGGGTGGCGGAAGGCGCCCCAGGCCCGAGGCGCCCCTCGTGCTCTGCGCTCCCTTCGGAAGCCTCTCGTGCCCGGTGGGCCCCGTGAGCAAGGGCGCCCTCGAGGGCGCGAAGTTCTTCGCGCTTCGCGCTTCGCGGTTCGGCTCCGATTCCTCCTCCTCCTCCTCCTCCTCCTCTTCTCCCCTGGGAGGCGGCGCGAGAGCGCGCAGTTGTTCGCACTTCGCGCTTCGCGCAGCGCGAAGCGCAAAGTTGGGAGCCCTTGGTGAGGGGTGCTCTCTGCGGGCCGTGGGGGGGGTTCCTCGGAAGGCCGGTGGGCCTCTCGGGCCGGGGAGCGAGCAGACGGTTTCGGCCCCAGCTTCTCCCGTGCCCAGCGCCGGCTCCTCGAGGTGGAGCGGCACGCTCAGGCAGTAGACACCTGCTGCTCCCCTGCCTTCCTTGCTCCTGCTCCTGGCCGCGCGCGCGCTGGCAGGAGGGAGGGGCAGGGCCGTGTGTCCACTCCGGTCAGCCTGCAGAGGAGGCGACGTGGTCGCCGAGAGCTCACCCAGAGCGCCTGAAGCATCGGTCCATCCCAACGCAGGCTCGAGGTCGCCATCTCTTGTAATTATTGTGCTCTAGCGGCGCTCGAGAGGTGCGGGCCGCCGTGGGCGAGGCCATCGCTAGGGTGGACGACGGGAACACCTTCGGACCCTCTGGCCGCGACGGCCCGGTGCGCTACCGGGCCGGCGCGCTGCGGGAGAGGTTCGAGCAGTTCTTCGACGAGTCGGAGGTGCTGACCAGGGGCATCGCCAAGGCTCAGAAGGAAAAGACACCGGTGCCGCTGCTCGTCCTGGAGGCCCCTCGTCGCCACGGCTGGGAGCTCCTCGAGATTCTTTAGCCCGGATGCTCGGGAGGCTCCGGGAATAGCGAAATCGGTACCTTCATGTTCCCCTGGAAAGGAAAAATCACACAAACATGGAACTTCTGGAGCTCCGCGCAGATTTTCTGGCTCGGCGCTTGGGCTCCCTCGGCGGTGCCTCCAACGCTGCCCCTGGCGCGCTCCGCGCCAGGGAGGGGGGTCCAGCGCCGTGACGAGAAATCCGCACGGACCTCCGAGAAGTTGTGTCTATGCAGTTTTATGTTCCTCTACCCACGAACGGTGTAAATCAAGGTTTTTCCGCCAGCGGGGACGCTTGCCCCAGGGCGGCTGGAACTCTTATATTCCACCGGTGGCCCGTCGGAGTGTAAACTTTCCAGTCCGGCCGCTCTAGGACAGGCATCCCCGACGGCGGAACACTCTGTGTTCTCGTTGTTCGTCCGTTGGAAGGCGTTCGCTGAGGCCGACTACGCCGCGCTGGGGGCCCTGGCGGACGAGAGCCACAGGCAGACGGTGGAGTGCCTGCGGAATACCGTGCCCGAGACCGCGTGGCTCCCGGTGGAGGCGCGCCGGCTGGGCGCGCTTGGCGCGTCGGCGTTTGGCGCGGGCTTTGCGGGAGCAGTGAAACTATACCGATTAGGGGTCCGCATGCGAACCCTACCCCTACCCCTACCCCCCACGATTTCTGAGGGGGGGGTAGGGGTAGGGTTCGCATGTGGCCCCCTACCGACCGATGCTCATCGGTCGTTGAGTATTGCTCGGTTCCCAGAGTCTGATCTGCTTCCCACGGTTTCCTACTCCAAGGGTCGAGCGGCTTTCCCTTGTCCTTCCTCTGCAGGGGGCGGGCAGCAGAAGCCGAGGCTGCTTCTGCCCACTTCTGCCGACCGACGGGCAATGCGACCACGTGATGAAGAATTGCCCCGGGGGGGGGGGGGCCCGGCGCCCTGTTGGGAAGCGGGTGATCAGACGTATTTCCACCAGGCCGCAGCCAGCGACCCACCAGACCCCCGCCGGCTCGAGCGCCGCGCGTCGGGTCTGGGCGGGGCGTCGGAGGGGAAGAGGAGGAGGAGGAGGAGGAGGAGGAGGAGGAGGAGGAGGAGGAGGAGGAGGAGGAGGAGGAGGAGGAGGAGGAGGAGGAGGAGGAGGAGGAGGAGGAGGAGGAGGAGGAGGAGGAGGAGAGGAGGATGAGGAGGAGGAGGAGGAGGAGGAGGAGGAGGAGGAGGAGGAGGAGGAGGAGGAGGAGGAGGAGGAGGAGCCAGCGACCCAGACGAGAAATGACGGTTTTTGTTCGTCCTCCCTGCCCGACTCCCCTCCTCACCGCCTGGTCCCTCTGCGGCCGCTCCCCGGACCTCTCCAGGGCTCCCCTCTCGGGCCAGGGCCTCGAGGCGCGAGTGCGGCCGTGGCGGCAATGGGAGGCGTGGCGGTGTCGGTGCTGCCCTTCTCGGGCCGGACGAAAGGGGGGGATTGGGACAGGGTCGGGAGCCTCGAGACGGGGGTCAGTGCAGACGGGGGTCAGCCAGAGCGCCAGATCTTGCAGGATTTTGCAGGCCTGATTGACCCGGGTCTGCATTGACCCGGGTCAGAAGATCCCCGACAGGGGGGTTACGAAATTTGCTGCATGCAGCTGGTTTCGGCCTCACCGATGGGGCCCATTCCTCGACACACGGTCGCCTCCGACGCCGAGAGGCGCCGGGAAGATCAGCTACGTGAGCTGATTCTCACCCCCCCCCCTTGCTATCCCCCCCTTTCGCCCGACCTGACCTCCCCTCGGAGGCTTCGGAGGCAGCTGCTGGGCGGCGGTCCGCAGGCCCGAGGCGGAGGCGTTCCGCGCCGAGTGGGCCCGGGGCTACCGGGCGGCCTTCCCCCGCTGGGCCGAGTCGTCCGTGTTCTTCGCCATGGCCCCGGGGCCTGGGGCCTTCGCGCTGTAGCGGCTGGGGCAAAATAATCAGCGATCCTCCCTCCCTCCCTCCCTCCCTCTCTCCCTCCCTCCTCTTTCTCTCGTCCTCCCTCCATTCCTTCCTTCCCCCTCCCCTTTCCCGTGGCCTCTTCTCCCCTTTCTTTCTCCTTGTCCTGATCCTCATCCTCCCTGCTCCCTCCTCTGCTCCCTGCCCCTCGTGCTTCTTCCTCCCTCCCGCGTGCTCCCAGATTCTCCTTCCTCGTGCGTTTCCTCCTCCTCCCTCCCTCCCCTCCCTCCCTCCTCCCTCCCTCCCTCCCTCCCTCCCTCCTTCCTCTTCCTTCTTCATCCCTCCCTTCTCCCTCCATTCTCCTCTCCCCTCCCTTCCTCCCTCCCTCCTGCTAGAACTTCCGATTGAGAATCCCCAAGCCTCCCCAGAACCCCGTGAACCTCGCTCAAACCATCCTCTATCTTCTCTGTTTCTCGTTCCTCCTCCTCCTCTTTTACGCTCCTCCTTCTCCTCCTCTACCCCTCAACCCTCCTTCCTCCGCCTCCCTCCTCCCTCCTCCCCGCTCCTCCTGCTCCCTCCTGCTCCTCCTCCCCTCCTCCTGCCCTCCTGCTCCTCCTCCCTCCTCCTCATCCTCCTCCTCCTCTATCCTCCAGTGCCCAACGTGATTACCTGCAGTCCCCCTGGCCCAGCTCGTGAGACAAGAGCGAGCCAGGGCCAGAGAAGCCAGCCGTTTTGTGGCCAGGAGGCACGGTGCCCTCCACTGCTGCGGTGGGCCGCGGCAGATCGAACCGGCCCATCCAGCCGTGCAGGTGTGCTCCTCCCTCCTCCTCCCCTCCTCCTCCCTCCCCTTCCTCCTACCACCTCCCCTCCTCCTCTCTCCTCCTCCTCCCCCGCCCCCACCTCCCCTCCCTCCCTCCCTCCCTCCCTCCCTCCCCTCCCTCCCTCCTCCCTCCTCCCTCCCTCCCTCCCTCCTCCCTCCCTCCCTCCCTCCCTCCCTCCCTCCTCCCTCCCTCCCTCCCTCCCGTCCCTCCTCCTCCCTCCTCCTCCTCTCCTCCTCCTCCCCTCCCTCCTCCTCCTCCTCCTCTCCTCTCCTCCTCCTCCCCTCCTCCTCCTCCTCCTCCTCCTCCTCCTCCTCCTCCTCCTCCTCCTCCTCCTCCTACTACTCCCCTCCTCCTCCTCCGCCCCTCCTCCTCCCCTCCCCCCTCCTCCTCTCCTCCTCCTCCTCACCCCCCTCCCCCCTCCTCCCATCCTCCTCCCCCCTCCTCCCCCCCCTCTCGAGCCCCCGGGCCCAGGACCGCGGCCACGGGGCCTTCGCCGCCTCCCCTGCTGTCTCCCCGACGCGCCAAGGGTGCGGGGCAGGGGGCTCCGGCGCACCATCGCACCACACCCTTTGCACTATTGCTTAACTTGATCACAGCAGGTGTGGACCGCTTGACTACTTGCACTACTGCTTAACTTGACTACTGCTTAACTTGACCACTTGCACTACTGCTTAACCACTGCTTTGTCAGGAGGGAAAGAAACACACAGACACAATTAATCGTCGATTCCCCAGAAAATATTGGAAAATATGGGAAGTGGGGGGGAAGACAGAAGCCCAGAAAATATGGAAAATATGGGGAATATTTTTATTTGTGTGTATTTATTTGTGTGTCCTGGGGCCCCTTCAGTTTGGTCTTATCAATCCCTTGCATCTCTTGGAAGCATGGGGAGCGGAACTTCCGCTCCCTTGCATCTCTTGGAAGCATGGGGAGCGGAACTTCCGCTCCCTTGCATCTCTTGGAAGCATGGGGAGCGGAACTTCCGCTGCGGAAGATGTTTCAGAAACCCTGCAGCTTGCAGATCTGATAGTTGATCCTGGAACCGACGCAGAGAAGGAAGCTGCAGCAGCCTGCTGCCACGAGCCGTACCACGCGTCATATGGTCTTTGAGCTCGGGTGGGGGAGGACGGCACACGCACACGCCGACGGGCTGCGCGGCCGTGGCATTCCTCTTCGCCTCCGGCGCGCGAGGCAGGGGAGGGGTGGGGCCCCCTTGGCGCACGCCCTGCCACCGATCGCTCGCACGGATGCCATGGATCGCGCGCACGCTCTGCCACGTCTGTGTCCACGATCGGCCCCTGGGTCGCGGTCTCGTTTTCTCGGGCGCCGGCTCGTGTTCTCGCTGTCGCGTTCTCTCGGCCCCCAGGTGGTGGCCTCGTTTTCTCTGACCCTGCTTCGTTTCCTCGTTTCCTCGTTTCCTCGTTTCCTCGTTTTCCTCGTTTCCTCGTTTCCGTGCTTCGTTTCCTCGTTTCCTCGTTCTCTCGGCCTTGGGGTCGTGGTCTCGCCTTCTCCTGCCGAGCGTTTTTGTTGGTGCTCTCGGCCCCACGGGTCGTGGTTTCGTCGGACCCTGGCTCGTTTTTCTCGTTTCCTCGTGTTCTCGGCCCTTGGGTCGTGGGTCGTGTTCGCGCTTTCTCGCTTCCTCGGCCCCTGGGTCGTGGTCTCGCTCTCTCTGACCCTGGTTCGTTTTCTTATGTTTTCTTTTCTCGGCCCCTGGGTCGTGGCCTCGTTTTCTCGGACCCTGGCTCGTTTTCTCGTTTTCTCGCTTTCTCCGCCCCTGGGTCGCAGTCTCGTGTTCTCGGGCCCTGCTTCGTTTTCTCATTTCCTCGTTTTCTCGGCCACTGGGCAGTGGTCGTGTTTTCTCGGACCTGGTTCGTTTTTGCGTTTTCTGTGCCCTTGGGTCGTGGTCTCGTTTTCTCGGGCGCTGGTGGGTTTTCTCGTTTGTTCGTTGTCTCGGCCCCTGGGTCGTGGTTTCGTTTCTCGGACCCTGGTTCGTTGTCTCGTTTTCTCGTTTTCTCGGCTTGTGGGGTTTTGCGTCGTTTTCTCGGGCCCTGCTTCGTGTTCTCGTTCTCTTGTTTTCTCGGCCCCTGGGTCGTGGTCTCATTTTCTCGGACTCTGGTTAGTTTTCGCGTTTTCTGGGCGCGTTCTCGTTTTCTCTGACCCCTGGATCGTGGTCCCGTTTTCTCGGACACTGGTTCGGTTTCTCGCGTTCTCCGTTTCTCGGCCCCTGGAATGTGGTTTTGTTTTTTTTGACCCTGGTTGGTTTTCTCGTTTTTTTCGGCCCCTGGGTCGTGGTCTCGTTTTCGCGGACGCTGGTTTGTTTTATCGTTTTCTCGTTTTCTCGGCCTTTGGGTCGTAGTCTTGTTTTCTCGGGCCATGGTGCGTTTCACGTTTTCTGGTTTTCGCGGCCCCTGGGTCGTGGTCTCGGTGTCTCGGGCCCTTTTTTTTCCCCCGTTTTCTCGTTTTCTCGGCCCCTGGGTTTTTGATTCGTTTTCTCGGACCCTGGTTCGTTTTTTTTTTTTTTTTCTTGGCTCCTGGGTCGTGGTCTCGTTTTCTCTGACCTTGTTTTGGTTTGTTGTTTTCTTGTTGTATCGTCCCCTGGGTCGTGGTCTTGTTCTCTCGGACCCTGGTTCTTTTCTTTTTTTTTGTTTCCTCGGACCCTGGGTCGTGGTCCAGTTTTCTCGTGCCCTGGTTTGTTTTCTCGTTTTCGCGTTTTCTCTGCCCCTTGGTCGTGGTCTCGTTTTCTCGAATCTCGTTTCGCTTTCTCGTTTTTTTCATTTTCTAGGCTTTTGGGCCGTGTTCTCGTTTTCTCGGGCCCTGGTTCGTTGTCTTGTTTTTTTTGTTTTCTCGGCCCCTTGGTCGTGGTTTCGTTTTCTCGTTTTCTCTGCCCCTGGGTCGTGGTTTTGCTTTCTCTGACCCTGGTTCGTTTTCTCGTTCTCTCTCGTTTTCTCTTCCCCGGGGTCGTGGTCTCGCTTTCTCTGACCCTGGTTCGTGTTCTCGTTTCTTGTTTTCTTGGCCCCTGGGTCGGGGTCAAGTTTTCTCGAACACTGTTTTTTTTTTTTTTTTTTGTTTATCGTTTTCTGTTTTTTTCTGCCCCTGGGTCGTGGTCTCGTTTTCTCGGACTCCGTTTCGTTTTCTCGTTTTCTCATTTTCTTGTTTTCTCATTTTCTCGGCCCTTGGGTCGCGTTTTCATTTTCTCGGACCCGGCTTCGTTTTCTCGTTTTCTCGGACGCTGGTTCGTTTTCTCGTTTTCTCGTTTTCTCAGCCCCTGGGTCGTTGTCTCGTTTTCTCGGACCGATATGCGTGTTTTCTCGGCCTGGGTCGTGGTCTCGTTTGTCTGACCCTGGTTTGTTTTTTTTCGTTTTCTTGTGTTCTTGGCCCTTGGGTCGTTATCTCGTTTCTTGCACCCTGGTTATTGCCTAGTTTTTTTAGTTTTCTCGGCTTCTGGGTTTTTCTTTCGTTTTCTCGCGCCCTGGTTCGTTTTCTCGTTTTCTCGTTTTCTCGGCCCTTGGGCCGTGTTCTCGTTTTCTCGGTCGCTAGTTCGTTGTCTTGTTTTCATGTTTTCTCGGCCCCTTGGTCGTGGTCCAGTTTTCTCGGGCGCTGGTTCGTTTTCCCGTTTTCTCGTTTTCTCGGCCCCTGGGCCGTGGTCTCGTTTTCTCGGACCCTGCTTCGTTCCCTCGTTTTCTTAGCCCCTGGGTCGTGGTCTCGTTTTCTCTGACCCTGGGTCGTCGTCGTCGTCGGTCGTCGGTCGTGCGTCGTCCGTCGCCGTCTTCGTATGACCTCGTTCTCGTCGTGACGACCACGACGAGGTCATACGAAGACGGCGACAATGACGGCGACAGCGGCGACGACGACGACGAGGACGACGACGGCGTCGTACGAAGACGTCGAGCGACGGCGGGACGTTCCTCTCCAGGGCAGGGCGCGGGGGAAAGAGAGAGGTTCGAGTGCCGGGGGGGGGTCCCCCTCCAGGGCGCGGGAGCGAGAGAGAGTTTCGAGTGCCAGGGGGGAGGGGGGGCTCCCCCTTTCCCCGTCTCCCCCTTCAGTGCCCGGGCGGGGGGGGGGCCCTCCCCTTTTGGGACCCCCCCCCAGCGGTTGCTGAACGACTTTCTGTTGAGTATCGCTCTCTCAGACATGTGGGCCCCTGGGCCAATGCTATCGACAACGAGACGTCGAGTGAGCTTGGCGCGTACTTGAGATGGAAGTTCTGGCTGTGGTGGACTCTTTTTCCCAGTGGGCCGTGCTTATTTCGGGGCCGACAGCCGCAGCTCGCCTGACCACATCATGGTTCCAGCTGATGCGGTGCACGCCCTCGTGTCGCACGCTGAGGAACGCAATGAAGGAACTGCACGTCATCCCCGACTGGAAGCCCAGGGACCGCGCCCCGCTCTTGTGGAGGGTCAACTACATCTTAGAGGCCCCCCGGCACCACCACCTGGGGCCAGATGGAGCACGTGTTTTCTTGCCAAACTCTGCACACACTTGGGAGATGGTGCGGGAATTTTCGGAGAATCGGAGCGACGTTATCAGAGTAGCAAGCGTACGTGGTTGAGAGAAGTGGCGCAGCTGGATCCTAGTGCAGCGTGGGAAGCCTTGGCAGAAGATAAAACGAGAGGCGGCCCTTCCTGAGGCTGCCATGCACCCGCAGGCACGTGATGGTCCACTTCCACCGCTGCTGCAGCGACGAGCACAAGCACTGGCACGGAACAAATTGCTCGTAATACCTGCTACACGGCGGCCAACCGACTCGAGCTGCGCACCATCGTGAGTGAGCTCAAGACCATAACGCGTCGCTTGGATCCGGAGAACATAGAATAGCTCATGGAGGAGGCAAAACTTCACCATGCCTCCTGGCGACACGCAGAAGTTGTGGCGCACCACCCACGCATTGGGAGCCAGGTGCAGAGGGCCACGCCAGCGTATGTATAATGTACCCGATCATTACTTGCCGAGCCTAGGGGAGTGGATGCAGACGATCGTGGCGCACGCACGAGACGGTGGGTTTAGCGCGAAGGTTCCCCATTGGAAGCTGCGCAGACAGAACTGGGGCGCCTCGCCGACGAGGGGTCGGACTACTGCGGGGGGGGCGCCTGCCCCATTCGCACGCGATGACCGGCAGAATGCTCTCGATCAGCTCCGTCGTGCTGCGCGACGGCGGTGCGCTCCTGATCACTCGGTGCCATCGGATATGTGCGCCGGCATGTCAAGTGCCCGCGTTTCACTGATGGCCTGCGGCGCGTCTCCCGCCAGATCCGATCGAAGGCCCGAGCGCCCTGTCAGTGGCACTGGAGTGGGACATTCCAGCTACCGAAGGGGAGCTCCAAGGCAGGTACTAAAGCGATGATCTTGATGCGTTGTTATTGTCCTCTTGCCAAGGCACGGTATCGAGGTATGTCCGGTCGTCATCGTCGACCTCCTCTCCTCCCTCGCGCTCGTCGCTCATTGGCATGCTCCGCGTAGGTCTAGACAGAATGCGCAGTTGGTCGCCAAGATGCAGAGCTGGGGGCTAAGGGAGTTGGGTATTTCGCACCTATTGATTAAGAAAGGTATGTTTCACGCCTTCCCATCGACCTCGCACGAGGCGCTGCGTGCGACGGCGCGGGCCATTGTTTCGAGTCCACAGGGCCGCGCCTCCTGCATCAGCGTCGCGCGGAGGCAGCGATGGGGATCAGGGCGGGGGAACAGGTGGGACATTCTCAACCTGCGCATGGAGCTGGGATGGGGGGCGGGAACGCACGCGAGTTTTTTGTGCGCAGTTTCTTGGGGCCCATCGAGCCTGGAGTAAGAAGCTGTTGGGTGATGCCGCCTTGCTTCGCGACGCCCGATTGCCTCCGCCTGTGCCGTTCGCGCGGGCCGCCAGCATCACGACGCGCCCCTTGGCGGATGAGGTGCACGACGTATCGACGCAAGAGTATGCCGACGATATCTATCAGACGTGGTCGCTTTCCCGCCCGAACCCGCTGGGGGCCATGGCGGGAGTGCTTGCCTTTAACGCCATCCTCGATCGTGAATTTCGGGAACAGGGAGGTTTTGCCCATAATCCTGATAAAGAGGTGTGCGTGTGCCTGCGATGGTGGGCCCTGGGCCCTGCGCTGCTATGGGGGCGCTTCTTTCCCAAGGGGTCCATCTTCCAGGTGCGGTTTCCGCGGAGTCACTGCATATGGGAGGAATGGGGCAGATTGCCGGAGGATGCGGAGCTGAGATCAGGGGGGGAATGGAGGCGACTAGGGCGGCGTGGAGGGGGTTGGGGTGCCTCTGGGATACTGCGCGTTCGATCAGATCCCCAAACATGAGACCTTAGGCACCATTGTTCGCGCTGCCTACCCCGGCTCGGCGCGGTCGTGCTCGAGTGTGCTCGCGCTGTCTTGCGCGGCCGTCGGCCAGTGTTTGATCCTCGGAACCCAGGGGCTTCTCCGACATGCAGATTCATGTCCGAATCCCATGTCCTTAAGTCATTCGGGATCACGGACATCAGGGCCGAGCTGACGATGCAACGGTTACGACAGTGGCAACGCCTCGTTCGCTATCCTGCTGATGGCAGACAGGTCCTCACGACGCTGTTTGGAATTTCCGGTGGCTTCGAGGAGGGCGGCACTTTCGCCCCGTCTGGCATGATCGCCGGCACGGCTAACCCCTGGGCGAGGCAGTTTGGGCAGGATGTCGGGGCCCTGCTGTGCCTTAGCAATGGCCCTGAGTTTCTTGCGTCGCACTCGATTCTGGAGATCCGCACTGTCGAGGCCGTGGGTAGGAATTTCTGCAGCTTCAATCCCTCGCTCCTCAGAACGGCCCCAGCCTCCAGAAGTTCTGCTAATGCTAGAAAACCCAGCGATGCGCCCCTGGGGGGCCCATGCAATAATATGCGTGTGACTTACCTGGTGGTGGCGAGGGCGGGAGGTGTGGGATGGTGCATTACAGCAAGGGGGCCTTCATTGCGCGCCGGTGTCATCATCCGTCGCGCAAGATGAGGGCCCTGGTGCACATGTTCGTGATCGCTAATCAGTGCTTGTACTGTGTGTCGAGTTTTAGAAGCCAGGTTTTCTGCTGGACGTCACGTGGGACAATCGCTTCGAAGGGGGAGATGCTTGTGCGATATGAGCCTGTGCGCCCCGCCAGTCCAGAAACTGGTGGACATGCGTTGCCCGTTCTGTGTGGATTTGGATTCGGCGCATCTGGAGTTGATGGAATGTATGCCACCTGGCTCAAAAAGAGAGGAGCTTTTTGAGTCTTTGCCCGAGCTACAGAAACACATTCGGGAAGTGCGCGCCCCTCCTGCCCCCGCGCTCGTCCATGCATGTGGCAGGGGGGGGTCATGGGGCAGGGGCCGCAGGCGCGAGATCGCGCCCTTCGCTCGCGCGGCGGAGAACGCAGAGGCCGACCGGCACGACGGGGAGGCGCTCAGCGCCAGCAGCAGCGACCGCAGGAAGAGGGAACCATCGGGCCGCGGCAGGCGGCGCGGGCGGCAGAGGGCGCGGCAGGGGCAGGGCAGCGGCAGTAGCATCCGCCAGGACCAGATGCGGATCGCATCGGCAGGGCGCTCGCAGACGTATTCGACCAGGCCGACCAGACATTTGGCCTCCAGAGGCAGGGCCTCGCCAGGCTGCAGGGGGGCGCCCCCCCCCCCGGAGATCACTCAGGCCTTCTTTCCTGTGGTCGCCCGCGTGGCCCCCCGCAACGCCCGGGCCATCGGCGCGTTGGATGCGGCGGTGTACCGCGTGATCCTCCTGGTGAGGGGCCATCCGATTTGCCGGGCCATGAGAGTCGCGCGCCAATTCTTTGCCCACGAGGCCACCAGGCCACGCGAAGAGAACCCCCAGGCCGCGACAAGCAGGAAGTACCATTATGGAACGCCCTCGGAGTTCCACTCCCGCACCGGCGGCTGGCCTTGTTGGGAGCTGTACGTCAGCAGGGCGAGAGAGTAGGGGCCGCCAGTGCGGAGACCATCGCCGACTACCTAGGCGGGATCAAGGCGGGCCCCGCGATCACGAACGAGCAGATGCGCGACAAGGTGCGCCATTGCCGCATCTCATTCACGCACGGCAGGAATATTATGCAGATTCACGTGGCTGCGGACGCCGCAGGAGTGGTTCCATCGTTGCTAGAGTCCTTGAAGCAGTTAGGCGCGAAGCTCAAGCGGGCCCCCCCCCCAAGTCACGCAGCGACAGCCTCATGCAGGTGATGCTGGACATTATTGAGCAGGTGAATATGTGATGGACATGCCTGGTACATCGAGTACTGTTCAGAGTGCGGATACCGGTAGTCAGATGGCAGGCTTCTCTCTTCTCTCGACGATTATGTCGCAACCAAGTCTGAGTGTAAGTATTGAGATTGATCCCGACGACGGAGAGAGTGAGGTTGACGGGTATGAAGGACACGAGTTTGGATCAAGAGTCTTTGCCCAATACCATTCCCCCTGTCCGTGGGCGAAGTGCAGTGGCCAAGTGCCTCCCCGCTCCGTTCTCCACCCCGACTTGTCCTCCGAGGCCTCTCTCGCTTCCTCCCTCCTCCTCCACTGGCGAAGTGCGCCCCCCGAGTGCCCAGTGCCCCGCGGGCCCTGGTGCGAGGATCCAGCCCCACTCCCTCCGCCCGCCGAGGTCTTCGGCCTCCCCTCGTCGCCCCAGCTGGACGAGCCTCGAGACTAGCCTCCTGCGGCTGGTGGGCCGTGCCTTTCAGAGACCTCCTGAAACACCAGGGTCCTAGACGGTGTGTGTGTGTGTGTGTGTGTGTGTGCGTGTGCGTGTGCGTGTGCGTGTGCGTGTGCGTGTGCGTGTGCGTGTGCGTGTGCGTGTGCGTGTGTGTGTGTGTGTGTGTGGGTGGGTGGGTGGGTGGGTGGGTGTTTTTTTTTTTTTTTTTTGTTGTTGTGTTGTTGTTGTTGTTGTTGTTGTTGTTGTTGTGGTTGTGGTGTGGTTGTGGTTGTGGTTGTGGTTGTTGTTGTTGTTGTTGTTGTTGTTGTTGTTGTTGTTGTTGTTGTTGTTGTGGTTGTCGGTCCTTCGTGTTTTGTGGACCCGTTCCGCCTTTGGAAAAAAAGGTCAAGTGTAAGTAGTTTCCTAGTTTTATCGGGGCGCCAGGTGGGTTCAGGGATACCTCCGATGCTGAGGTCCGCCTAGGGGCATTTAAGCCCCCATCCCCCAAGCCATATGCCCGCTTCTTAGCGCACGCGAGTTTTTTTTTTTTTTTTTTTTTTTTTTTGCTATCTTCCATCCGCAGGCCTGAGTTGAACCGACCCGTGTCCCTGATGGGCCTGCCGCCGCCGCCCCCTCCAGAGGCCAGGACAGAGCCGACATCACGAACGAAATGTCGCGATCCTCGGTGCTCGAGCCTCGATCCTGGAACCTCCGTCCTCCTCCTCCTCCTCCTCCTCCTGGCCTTCTCCTTCCCCTCCTCGTCCACTTCGCTCCCCCCCCCGGTCTCCTTGTGCCTCAGGAGCTGGAGCAGGACCCGGGGCCCCTGCTGCGCGAGCTGCGCTACCGCACCTGCCTGGAGCAGCCGCCCCCCGCCGAGCGGGCGGAGCTGGAGAGGAGGCCCCCGAGCGGGGGGATGCCCGGGAGGCGGGGCTCCTCCTCTTTCTCCTCCTCCTCCTGCTCCTCGTCCTCGTCCTCGTCCTCCTCCTCAACATCCTCCTGCCCCTCCTCCTCCTCCTCCTCCTCCTCCTCCTCCTCCTCCTCCTCCTCCTCCTCTCGGAGGGTCGCGCCGTACCGCCGATGCATCGGCGATGCGGCTGGATGTGGAGCCCGATTTTCTCCACGCTGGCGTCTCTGATGCACCGCCGATGCATCGGCGATGCAGCCCCGATGTGTCGGCGGTGCGGCGCGCTTTCCCGATCCGACCCACTATAGGAGGCCTCTAGCTTAGCGACCACTTCACGAGCCCTGCTCGAAGATGCACAGCCGCACAATCGCAAGCTGTCTGAGGCCCGTGCGGATGGGTTGGATCGGCGCTGGGCCCCGCGCCGGGGAGGGGCGTCCGGCCCAGAGCCAGGACAAATCTGCGCGGACCTCCGAAGGCTTGTGTTTTTGCAGTTTGTCGTTCCTCTATCCACCAACGCGGGTCCGATCGACGCTGGGGCATGGCACAGCCCCGCTGGGTTCGCCTGGCTGCAGACATCCGTCAAATTCTGCCCCCCCCCCGTCGTTGTTTCAGACATCGGATCTGGACGGGTAGGGCTCGCATGTGTTTGCTTGAGCGCGGGTCCTGGCGCTCGATTCTGACAGGCCTGCGATGTCTTGAACAAAAACGAAACAGTCGGATTGCTTTCGCAGTTTTCGGCAGACGCGGGTGACGTTCGGGTACAAACATGTTCCCAGCTATTGAACGAACGTGACATTTGAGGTCGGAGGACAACTCCCGACAGCTTCTGCGGATCCCCGACGGCGCAGATCGATCCACATTGCGTAAAGGGTTCGCGAGGTGTTCGAGTCCACGCCGTCATTGAGGCCCCCGGGGGGAGGAGGAGGAGGAGGAGGAGGAGGAGGAGGAGGAGGAGGAGGGGAGGAGGAGGAGGAGGAGGAGGAGGAGGAGGAGGAGGAGGAGGAGGAGGAGGAGGAGGAGGAGGAGGAGGAGGAGGAGGAGGAGGAGGGGAGGAGGAGGAGGGGAGGGGGAGGGGGAGGGGGAGGGGGGAGGGGAGGGGGAGGGGAGGGGGAGGGGGAGGAGGAGGGAGGAGGAGGAGGAGGAGGAGGCGGAGGAGAGGAGAGGAGGAGGAGGAGGAGGAGGAGGAGGAGGAGGAGGAGGAGGAGGGAGGAGGAGGAGGAGGAGGGGAGGAGGAGGGGGGGAGGGGGAGGGGGAGGGGGGAGGGGGAGGGGGAGGGGGATGGGGAGGGGGAGGAGGAGGAGGAGGAGGAGGAGGAGGAGGAGGAGGAGGAGGAGGAGGAGGAGGAGGAGGAGGGAGGAGGAGGAGGAGGAGGAGGAGGAGGGAGGAGGAGGAGGAGGAGGAGGAGGAGGAGGAGGAGGAGGAGGAGGGGAGGAGGAGCAGGAGCAGGAGGAGG